GTAGTAGTAGTAGTAGTAGTTAGTTAGCAGTAGTCTGTAGTAATAGTACACGTGTCCAAGTCCACTGTCAAAGACATCAGCCAGCCAACAACAACTCACTCGATACTATGCAGACTGCAGAGAGCTTCATCTGTGTGCAAAAGAGTCTGGTCTGGTATAACTAAATCAAATCAAATATCCAGCAGTCCAAACCTGAATCTAAATCTTGAAGCCTTCTGACTCGACTCACACCGCACGCCTTAACTTCTGAGTATGTGCTGACAGATTGCGGATATGCCTGCTTGCTTCACAAAAGACTTGTCCGTCTGCAGTCAAAAAAGGGTTCCCCTTCGAAAGAGTCCGCTTGCACGTGGACAAACGGCTGTATGGCTGGCATGGTGGGCCAGCCGTGTACAGGTCCTGAACACAGGAAACTCAGGAAACAATACATGACGACACGTCACAATGGGAAAAACATGACGGATCCATCATGGACAATTGATCAGACCTGGAAGAGTTTCTGCGTTTGAGTGTGAACGCATTGAAAAACTAAATCATTCTCAGCCTGGGTGGATCAGTTTATAAACTCATAGCTTTGGGACCATCAAAGCTACTGGACTCAACTTAAACACGCCGCACAGTGCACACAAACACACTCACATGTCCTCGGACGAGGGGATGAGGCAGCGACGATGTCCAGCGCAATTGCATTTGGGATTCATCTCCCCACTGATCAAATCGCCAATGTCATTGTAAATGTGGTTGACTCGGCAGGCGTGACGGGCTGCAAAGTGAAAAACAGCTTTGAGAACCTTACACGTTCAAATCCTGAGCCCTGAATTTCCTCACATGTCATGACCAGCGCATGAGCTGACTACAAAAAGGTAGGGTTGGTAGGGGAAAAAACTGTTCAAATGCTGGCTGCTAGCTAACGAGATGGCACCATTTGGAATGTGAACACCTGATGAACACCTGACCTTTGGAAACGGATGATGACTGCAGATCAACTGACTGCAGACTCTTCTGGAGAGACTTCTGCGATTGGGACCGTGACGCCCAAACCCAACACAAACAATATTACAACTACTACAGTAAACAGAAACACACTTTTGGGTCCAACTTGAATCACCTCTCCTACTGCTTGCCCTCTCACGGGCCAAGCCAAGTGTCTCTGACCCATGTTGTAGTTCGCGCTCAGAAAACGCTGCTTTTTGTGGCACTTCTCAAGAGCTGCCACTGTGCGCCACGAAATGTTCGTGACTGATGATAGCTCACCCCTCAGTGTGGTGGTGGTTGTTTCCAGCTGAAAATTGGAACTGTCCACATCTGTCCACTATCTACCCTTTGGTTTATTTACGCCGGAACGGTTTGAACCTTCAAGAGTACTCAATGAACTGCACCCTTTTGTACCAACCTTAATTTCTGAATTAACAACTCACAATTTGACTGGACGAACAGAATATATCCTGCTGCTTCGGCGCAGGATGTAAGTAGATGTGCCAGCACCAGCGCATGCCTCCACCATTTGCAGCCTTGGGCTGGCATGCATAGAGACTGCAGTCACTTGGAACTTGGAATTGAAGGTTTGTCCAAAATTTGTCAGGTTGGCTGACACAGTGAGGAGGAGTGTCTGTGTAAATCTGTTACCAATCCTGCAACCACACTGCTGCTTGGAGTACGTTTCTGTCCTTCATGACTCCATGACCGGCCCATTGTGATTTGACAATTTCTACACCAAGCAGCATCTGGTCAGAGTACTTGTCAAATGCTCGCGGGTCCACCTTCAAAGCTTTCAGGAAGTGCTGCGGCCATTCCAGGAACGGAAGTCGTGCTGCAGGATCTTCAGGCATCCTGAGATGCGTGGTGATAGGAGAAATCGGAACCTCTGGGTTTGTGATGAATCTTGGGTTCAGGCTGGTTGCACCTACGCTGTGCTGTACTAGACTATACCGACCTATGCCTATACCTACTTAGACTTGGATTAGAGCGGATTCGGAGTGAGATCATCTAGTCTTCTGCCTGGACCCGGGCATGCAGTGCGAACTCACCCCAAATGTTTCATGAAAATGACCTGAGGTCTGAAGTCCTGATTCAAAATCCTACCCTACCAACTGAAGGCCAGCAAAGTCTCTCCAGCTCAGACTCAGTGTCTGTGCAAGCGGCCATGGCAAACCCAATGGGTGGATGATGACAACAGAAATATCATATCAGTCGTATCATATCATCATATCAGTAAAATATTATTGCTTTATTACTATATAGAGAGTATAAGAGTCTTTAGTTTAGTCCAGTCCTGCCTGATCATGTGTGTTTCTAGCTAGAGCCCTAGTTTGCAACACCCTTCTTTGGCCACCTGAAGCTGCGAATAAACCAAACCATGGCTCCTCCAGCGGGCGAAGTTCCAAAAGAAACCACTTAGTGCTAGCACCTCTTGGATCTGGGCGCTGGTGCACGCAGGGGCTGAGGTGGCACTGGCAGTCTCGCTCTTGGGGCTGGAGGAGGTGGCGGGCACAGGAACTTCTTTCTTGGTCTCACTGCTGCTGTTGGAGGGGGTGGGGGTGGAGGTGGAGGCAGTGTTTGCACTTGGAATTTGCGAGGTGCTGGTGGGGGAGGTGGTGGCAGTGCCACAGATTTCTTTAGATTTGGTGACGGAGGTGTTGGCAGCTTTGGTTTGGGCCGTGTCTTTTTGTGTGCACGCTTGACTCGCACCCAGCGCCGGACTTTAACTCGAACACGGAGAACCTTTCTCATGGCTCAAACTACCAGGGGTTGGCCAAGTGTTTGACCTTAATGAGCTGCAGCTGAGCAGATAATATTCTTTTGTTAAAACTCCAAGCCCCCACTATGATGCATTATTCACAAGACTGCTGACTGCTGACATAGTTAGAGCAAGCAAGACAAGAATTTTATAAATAGTTCGGGTATTTTTATAAATAGTTCGGGGACTGTAAATCTCCAAAACAGGATAGGCCAAATAAAGAGGCCCATGCACATAATAACAATTAACACACAAATTACATGTGCCACTTGCATATCAAGTTTGGTCAGTGGACCTCATGGAACTGGTACCATGAGCCATACGAATGCTTACTTGATCTGAAAAAAGGTTTTCTCATGTTTTCTCTCTTTTTTGGATTGCCAATTGCGTTCAGCTGATTGCTGCTCCGGACTCGAAGGACTCGCTGGAAATTCTCAGCGAAGCAGCGGGAAGCCCGAGCCTTTCGCGCGCGCCCCCGCGCGCCTCCGGAAAGACGCCTCGGAGCTGGACGATGAGCGTTCCGGGCCTCGGCAGGTCCGCCCCTGGGTCGCGCCGGTCTCCCCACGACTCGCACACCCCGAGGCGCCGTGGGGCACAAGCAGGAGACATCTCCAGATAGTTAGGATGTGGAAAAAGCAGATGTTCATGGAGGTGATGGTACTGGTGATGGTGGAAAAGGCAGTTGCTCTATAGCAAATCACAGCATGCCATGTCATCTATCTCTATTCTATATGATTTATATCTGCATATGGCCCGCCACAAGAATCAGACCAAAAATTTTCCACATTTCCAACATAGTTCTGACATAGTTCTCAACCAAACTTCTCTTGAAAATTAGAACACCCCCTATATAGAGGACAACCGGTTCTCTAAGTTATAGCTCTGTTCTTGGATCAGCTCAAAAACTCATGAACTCTGAAAGCAACCTCCTGTTCGCAACATGGCGTCAAACTGTCCAGTCCCCAGCCCTCCCAACCTGCGTCCAACTGTCCAGTCCCGAGCCGACCCACCGGAGATCGCTGATGGTGCCCTCGGCCAGCTTGTCCTGCCCCGGAGTGGGAGCCGGCGCGTGTGCGGCGCAGATTTGGAAGGACTGCACGACTGGATTTTGGATGCGGATTTAGGGGTTCAAGTAGTGCAACACAGGATCTCTTGGAATGCCCCCCTGGTCCAAAGAAACATCATGAAAAAACCATCCGCAAGGTCACTCACACTCTCCGGAATTTCCAGAACAAACGCATGCTTTGCTGGGGGGTGCAGGATTTCTCCCTGCTTTCGACGCGGCTGAAGGGTTCACCGATTTTCCAGTCGACTGACCTGCGGGAGTCTCAAACCAAACCAGCCCACCATCGCCACCATCTATCCATAAAAGCCTACATGCGTCCAGTCTGACTCGGTCAAACCTGGTCCTGAAAACCTGGAGTAGGTTTGTATGACCAACTCCAAGAGGAGGTCCTTGACATACCTGTGACGGGAATATCAACAAGAAAGCGTTCCATCAAACGGGGAAAACCCTTGGGAACACCACCTATTGGATCTTCGGATTTTGCTGCCCTCACTCACGGCCCGTCTTCGTGTACTTCGGTTTACCCGATCTTCAACGTATACGTGCCCTAGAAAATGGTACATGACCCGGACCCCGCCGACAAGAAAAACACAAACAGTATCAGTGATAGATTTCATTGTAATACTTGTACATTGGGTCTATCCTATCCTGTAACAGTGGATGATGATGGTTCAGTTGCAGGCCTTGTTCAAAAATAGTAATACTTTTTGACCGTTACAGGTAATAGGACAGACCCTAGTAATACTAGTACGTGTACCAACCCAACTGGAAGCGAAGGTACGCACAGTTGGATTCCAGCTTTCGACTCCTTTTCAACGTACCCAACCACCCCTGCCGAGATCTTTGCAAGCGAACTCACAGGAAACACCGATTGACAGGTGATTGAATGTGGGGTCATATCAGATCACCGATATCCACCCAAAGAGTCTCAAAACCACCCTCGCCTGTAAGGGATCCGTTGCGGAGATGGTGACAGAATCACCCCTGGCTGTCGCGTCGTGCAAAGACATGTTCTCCATCGTTTTTTTTAAGGGTGGAGGCCATCGCTTTTGGGTGGAGGCCATGGCTATTACAAACAAAGAAAACAAAAAAAGGAAGAAAGGTCTAATTAACTATAGCTTGCTAGTAGGTTGGAGGCCATCGCTCTTAGGTTGGAGGCCATTGGCAACTTAAGTTTCCATAAAAATCTAGAACCAAAATGAACCAAATCATTAGTGCGAGCGCTTCTTCAAGGAAGCTTCCCCCGCCGCCTACTTTAGGGCCGCGGGGGGAGCTTCCTGGAAGAAGCGTGAGCTATCCTGCGTCCTAAGTATAGTAGCTACTTAAGATACTACCTACCTCTTCTACTAAGCTACCTATAGCAACTACTTCCCTCTACGGCCTTCCCCCCCGGGCTAAAGAAAGAAAGAAAGGTCTTACTTCCAAGGCTTCGAGCAAGAAAGAAAGAAAGAAAGGTCTTACTTCCAAGGCTTCGAGCCAACCACGATTGAAAACGAAGGGTGCCGCAGGTCTCCGGCTCAGCATCGCGCCTCGCGCCCTCGCGCGGTAAAAGCCCTGAATCGGAATCGGAAGCCTATGGCTTTTTCCACCAAACCCACTATCTTTATTTGGAACAACCCGTCCCTAGAGGTCGAAGATCTCGGAGTTGGTTGGTCCCAGGCACCGACTCGGGGGGTGGTGGAGGGTGTTGAATCGACCTGGATCAGACTGGGCCGCCCTAGGGCGGGCGAAGCACTTCGGGCTGTTTGGATGTGGATCCTCACTTCCCTGGTTTCTGGTCATAAGATATCTCGTTCGAGATCGAACTCCATACTCCATACCCACTGCCCTCGAAGAGAGCGAATCAGCGTCCGCGCGCAAAGCGCGGGGTCTGTCCCCAACAATCCATAGTATTGAAAATACAACTGTTGAGAGTCCTCAAACATCTTCAAGTTTTCAAACCATCCAAATGTATACGTATAGAAAGGGCGCTCGCTGGTATAAATCTTCCAGTTCCATGGCATTCTCTGGGTTTGGTCCCCTGCAGACCGGTCTTCGTCGTTCCCGCGCAGACCGCCAGCGCGTCTTCTTCACTCAGGTGGAGTTCGAACAGCTTCGAGGACCTGGGAAAACACGACCAGGTCAACCAGTGGCTAATGGGGAATGCCTATCGGTCACCCCAAACGATTTGGTGGGTCATGACTTGGCTCATGGTGGCTCTATTCTTAGTGCCATCTGCAGGGTTCCTTATTTTTGACTTGATGGTACTTAATCCCAGGCCATCCAGTTACCAATATAGCTGGTAACCAGTGGTTCCAAAGACTAAGACCATAGACCTAGAATCCCTGGTTCCTATATAGTGGTAACTGGAATGCACAGGGAATGATTACAGTCTTGCACACGCTCTCGCCAGCATCACATGCGGTTCTAGTGGCTCCAGCTTGAAACAACATACCAGCATGGGCGAACAAAAACACGTCGCTGGAGCACCTTGTGTCGCTGGAAGATGACGCCTTCTCTGGAAACCGGAATGGTCTGAGCCAAACTTCATGCATGCGGAATCCTTGAGCCCTGGAAACGCAACCCCTGCGATAAACAACCACGCAACATGGTCAAAACACGAAAACGGTTGAGAACCAAAACACTGCGCTACAGGTTTAGGGCTCACTCCACGTCATTTTTGCCGGAGTGTTGCCGAGACACAGTAGCTGGGCAAAGAGGCACTTCCATAAGCCTTGCAGCCACAACTTTCTGGACAAATCCAGGCGAGGGGTCGTATGAGGTCGGGATCTCCTTCACACCTCAGCCATTTCGACAGCGGACAGCTTTCAAACCATGAGATCAACAGTGAGAAGTTTCTTTAGGAAACCTAGCCACCCACAAAAGCACAAGTACACAATCCCCTCAGTATACTTGCTCTTGAGCAGGGGGAATAAAAGAACACTACAAATTTAAAGAAACATGGGCTTCACAGAGAATTTTGGATGTTGCAACATCGATCAAACACAAAGTATTGTCACAATATGTCACAAATACTTCCAAGCACTCTGCCCCAACCGCAACAGCAAACATATAGCAGAATCATGCAGAATCCGGAGCATGCAATCCCGCAAGTCACCTATGTCGAACCGTGTGCAGAATCCTGGGTCGCCGCGAACCCCCTGACAGGATATGCCAGTTTCTTCAACCCCACCCTAGGATTCCATCCATCATGGACTTAATGCGTTTTACCATAAAAACACTAGGTCAAAAGTCTTGTGAGGCGAAGAATGGTCAACCCTACACTGTCAGCACAAGAGTGAACGCGTGCCGGACTCTGCCGAAGTGCCATGGGCTTTGACTGCCAATGAGGTTTCGAAACTGCGGCACTTTGAGGGTTGGGCAGCCACCCGACTTCATTGATGCAACCATGGCTTCCAGAAAGGGCATCGCGGAGGAGGAGTAAACATCTGTGCCAAAGGTATGCACCAGGGCAGGCAAGTAGCCATCCCAGGTTTGGAGCCAATTCTCATCGATCGGGCGATCTTCACAGTCTTCAGAGGCCAAATGTTCTCGGGCGATCTGCAAACAACTCTCCTCAGAAAAAACAAAGCTCACCAAGAAGCAATAAAGTCAATACCCCTCAACGAAAACAAAGGCAGAAACATCAGAAACTGGTGGAACACCGCTGGTAGAGGAAAATACTTGTCCATTTCGATGGTTCGTTTACCAAAAGTCGGCCCTTTCCATCCCCCATCATGGAGATGATGACGGTTGTGATGATGCAGGCGACCACGATGATCACTTGCCAAACGGGACCGCCACACCTTCAACAAAACCTGATCAGACTATATCCATTCAGAAGAATAGCCCCAATGTAGAGCTGTCAGCTGATGGTGTGATTTCCACTAAAAGGTGGCCCCCATTAAAAAAGAAAACAATTTCAAACCGACAACTATCTTTCGAGTTCTTACTATCAAATACTTAGACTGAATACTATGAAATACAATGTCCAAAGTCTACAATGAGTCAAGTTGGCTCAAATTGAGGAAACAAAAAAGAAAAACGATGAGCATTCACAAACCAAAGTGTCTGAACAGCCCTGCGCTGGAACCTTGTACCAATGGGTTGCGTAGGGATTCGTGCAGTTGCCTTGGATGTGCATTTTCCGGGTTTCAACAGGCCTCCAGTTGCATATATAACCTGGTGCCAAAACCCTCTTGTAAAGGACACATAGCCCAACATGTGCGGGTTCTGATTGTGTACTCTTTATTGAACCCCATTCGTATAGTGATCATGCCTTGTATGTGTTACATGCTTGGGGCAGGCTAAGGAGACCTCCCTGTTCGACCCCCTAGACAAAGGAATAGAACCATCCAACACCCATTGCTTGTGGGCGTTCCCTATCGACATACACACCCAAATAGAAATAGTATCCAAGGTCCGGTCCTACCGACAAACACCACCAGCATCACCAAACTGCAATCCAAGAACGTCCGAATGGCAACACCTCCATGACCGGGTCCTCTACATCCACAGTGTTGCATCCTTCCGAATCCTTCCTCTCTGAACCCATGCTTCACATGCTTCACCTGCAAAAACCGATCCTTTGCCACCCTTGCCGGACCTCGCCCTAACCTCGATCCTCCGCAGGTCTTCGACAGGTGACAGGTGATTCCACAGATCATCCGCAGCAATCGGGCTTCCGGCAAAGTGCACAGGTCGGCCACCTGTTCGCAGGAGCTGATGTCATCATAGCGGCCCAGCACCGCCGCCGCAGTGCGCAGGCGAAACATCACCAAACGTCCCACGACGGCATCCTGCAGCCGCCAAAATTGGTCAGAAGATGTCAGAAGGATCGATCAGGGTCGGTCGAATGGGATTGGATCTGAAAAAACGAGGGGGGCCTCGTGGTCGCGTGAACATGTTCTGCCTGCATCCAACGTTTTTCATAATCTTTTAAAGACTTGTTCTGAGCACCAGGCTTTGCTCAGACCCACGCGTCCAAGCACTTCACTTGTTTCAAAAAATGGCTCCAGGACGCTGGGTGCACAGGAAAGCACCTATATAACGATCATTATGTAAATGCATATAATATGTAAAGTAGGGTTGGGTGAAAAGTCAGGTTTGTGTTTCTCATCCTTTGAAATGTTAGGTTCTTGGAGTAGGGGGTAAAGCCATCACTGCGCATGTGGTGGACCATGTCTCAAACTCCACCCTTGCCATGTCGCGACCTGTTTGATGAGTGCCATTTTCCCACAAACCCTTGCCAAAAGGCCCGACCCTGCCGATGCTTCATGAGTCTTCGCTCCTGATACCATTGTTGTCCAGGGGTGAAGTACGTCTGCTCCACGCAGAAGGTGAACTCCGCCGTTTCTGAGGCCATGCTTCGGGTTTTCTCCATGTCAAAAGCTGCGCGGCTATTCAAAAAGCCAATGTAATAGGCCTCCCGGTTGCTTCGGTTGGATGCATACGTCCGTCGTGCTGAAAGACTCGCTTGGATCTTCGAAAACCAGGGGCTCCGCAATTGCTTCAAGGGTGTCTGCAGCAACAGGCAGCAGTATCTACACCCATTGAGGGTGATTCGTCTTGGTTTTGCAACTTGCATTGGTTTCCATTCAGAGTTATATAGGTCACCTATAGCCACCCACGACCCACTAGATGAATAAGGGCTCGCAGGTTGATCAGGGCCACCAAAGGGCAGTTCTGGTTGGAATCGGCCGACCGAGTCACCCAATTCCATCCAATTCCGAGGACGTGGAGATTCACCGAGTTCAGATGCTCCGTGGCTCATGGCTGGCACCGCTGGACTCGGTCACTCGGTCGCTCTCGGTCACCCGTGGCTTTCACCGGGCTTCACCGCGGGGCCTTCACGGAGTGAAGTTACGAAGCCCGGGTGAAGCCACGAGGCGAGGCGAAAGGCCATCTATATATAGCTGGGGAATGAATGGCCTAGTGTCACCAGTTTAAGCAAAGTAATCTGGAGACATGTCTTCGATATGCCACATTTTATGGCAAAATCTCTGATTGAAGATGTCGAAACGGGATTTCTGGCAGAATCCTGCCCGGCCCACGGCCGTCACGGTTTGGGGGAAGGCGGTCCGAGACGTTTGCCCGATTTGGGGTCTGTCCCCCTGGTCTTTCTCGGTGGCAAACATTCGCCCCTGATGGTCTGCGTTATAAACCAATGCGTCCCAGGCTGGTCAAGACGATAGTTCCTCGTGATACCTCATACCTTGCACCTTGCCTCGGGCCTCTCAGCGTGCACTGTCCAAATGTTTTCACACAGTAGTGATCAGTCACAATAGCCTCGAACATTTTAGAGTCTATGGCAGGAAATCTGCGGAACATTCTCTGTGCAAGTAGATGTTTTGACAATTTACAGTAAGGTGCTGGACATTTTAGTCGGAAGGAGGTACAAACACATCCTGCTTTTAAACGCATACTGCAGAGACCTGCAGAGCTATGGAGCAAAATCTGAGAGCACTTTCTCTGCAGTCCTTGCTTTTTGATGCGGGGGTTGGTCATGGTTTGTCACATTGTTTGGCGCTTGCATAACTATCCTGGTCAACAAATACGAACGACAACAACAACAACAACAACAACAACAACAACAACGAGGGGTGTGTCCAATACGCCGCCCTGCAACTCTATGCTTGTGTTTTTGGTTGGTTTCTTGTCTGTAGTGTTGGTATTTACAACAAGTTCCTTGCAACAAGTTCCCAAGGAAGATGCTTGCGTCGAGCGTTTGCTGGAGCAAAACGCTGAGCTTTTATGCATCGAGTGTGAGTAAAAAGGTTCGGAAAAGTGTTCTTGAAAGTCTGATGATAAGTGATCTGCAGTCATCCAACAGTTTCAGCCAAGAGTCCTTTCATGATACGCAACTGTCTTAATTCAAAACACTTTGCACCTCAACACACAAGTTCCCTTCACTTAAAAACCCTGCAGAAAAGTGTTCCTTCGACTTGAAGGTCATTACCTGAATCGTTTCTCGGTATAATTTATAGTAGTATTTATAGCTGTATTTACAGATGCTTGCAGTAGATCTGGATGTTGCATAGAAGTAAGTGTAATCGAAACAAGTACATATATACATTAATGGACAAAGGAAAACACAGTGAGGTCCATACAACTGCATCCTTACATCGCTACAAGCACGTCATTCTCCCCACTCCCGCCCACTCCAATCCACCCGAACCCTTGGCGTATGTATGACGTACGTGACAGGCGCAAGGACGGCGTATCAGCCGCGAGCCCAAAAAAAACACATCACGGCAGACCATTTTCGTCAATCAAACTATATAAAGCAAAATTGCTCAGACTATGGACGTGTTTTTATACTTTGCCCACAACACCTGTGGACATGCGCGTCTGCAACAAAGTCTAAATCTTGAATCATGCAAAAACCTGAGCCCCATACCCCCGGCTCTCTAGTGCTATCCAGGTGGTCAAGAACCTGTATTTTACACCTATGTGGTGGCTGGTAAACATGTTTGCTTCCCGAGAATAATAGCAAGTCTCACGCGATCCGTCGTGAATCTTTTGCGGACCAATCGCGAGACAAGTTCATACAAAAAGAACATGTCAATGGGTGATTTTTGTTGCGCTGACAGGGAAGGCTGGATAGATCTTTCGCGAGACGACACGAAACCCATTGTGGATTCTTTGCGAAGGGCTCTTCAAGACAACAAGGTCATAGATGAATTTAGGAAAGACATTCAGACTATCCAATTCTTCCATTCGGTGCCGGAAAAGGACCTCTTCATCTGGGCCAGCGAACTTGTGCATGTCGACGGCTCGCTCAATGGGAGAAAGGGCAACGGTCTTGCGACCTCCTTCGGGGAGGTCCGCTGTGACAATGCCAAAGATCACTTGGCTATCCTGCGGGGGACGAGTGGAGCTCAGATCAAGGACTGCAAGGACTTGGATCCAGATGGTGAGCAATTTTTAGAGCCAACAATTGCCCCAAAATCCCGTCCTGATTTTGACCCACCACAAAAGTCTGGTTGCCAAAACACAGTTCCCTCTTCACCAAGAGCATGGCATCTGCTTGTGGCTTCAAGAGAAAGGAGTACGGCACAAGGAAGGTCACCAGCAGTAGGACGAAGAGAATGAGGCTTTCAATCCTAACTGCCCAGAACGACGCTCCGTCCGTGAGTGAAGACAGCCCGTTCAACCCCGGAGACCGATTCGGGTCGCAACCGGGTGGATCACCTTTCTGGAACACCTAACTGTCAAGTTTGGGAACTTGGACCTACTGATCGAAAGGATTCAAATGGATTCAACATGTTTCACCTGTCAACCATATATATATACCCTGAGAGTCATGAGACGATTTCTTATATAGTCGTTCATTGAAAGACGGTTTTTGGTTAGGTACTCCCTGGCATACAAGTTCACGTGTTGGAGCTCTGTCAGTCGGCTTTGTTTTACCCGCGGCCACGGGCAAGTTTCGCTGCCACATTCCGATTGAACCTTGGCAGGGGCACAAGAAATCGAGTAGGCCCATGGAAGTGGTGAACACTTGCAATGCATTTCATAATTAGGCAGGAAACTGGTTCACTTTCATTTTTGTGGACACGATCCTTAGTCATGTTCTAATTCTTGCAATGACACTCATGCGTTTGCCAAAGTAGTACAGCTACACAACAACGGTGCACATAGTCTAGGCTCCGAAGACGTCCGCATCGAATGATCCATCGAACACGCCCTAGTGCGTGCGCATTCAAATAAGTTCCTTGCGCAGCAGGCCGGTGATGGCTACAAACAAAGCCGCATGCCCAACAAATGCACTGAACCTTTGCACTGTGCATTCATTTCACCAAAGTACACCAAAAACATGAAAGAAATTTGGTTTTGACATCATCCAAAGAGCGTTTGGTCCACGCCATGGCATCTTCATCGCAAAAGCAGTGGTAGAAACGTGGATTTGCACCTTGGATCTATTCGCGATTCGGCGGAAAACAAAAATAAGCTTGCATTTTTTAGCATATACTATAGCTGGTTTGATGCATAATGCAATGCAACATATTCCTTCCATTGAGGTGGAACGGTGCATTGGAAATCGGAGGCACCATCAACAAAAATACAAAAGTTTGGAACAGATTCAAAACAAGAGACGCTGCTCCCTGATAGACTTCAGAATATGCCACAATCCCTGGGGGGCAGGAACAATCATGAACGAGAGAAACACTCATTCCAGGTCCAAGGTGAATACAGGCCAGGGTACGTGCAACTTCGGCTTGAGATACCACTCTTGAAGCCCAGTCCTGTCAAGCTTGAGCTCGAGTGTATATCAGAAACGTATCTTTTATTCGTTTGAAACCATCATGCATCTCGTTGATTACAATTAACTTTCGCAAGAGTTTTGATAAATTGATGAGGTTCGAAGCATGCAATCTTAATCGAATTCGGATTCTAGATCTCCAAACACGTAAAATGCATTCTCAACTCCAGCCTCAATGAGATCCTTTGCCAAACGGATCCACAAACGGATAAAGTTCCGGCCATCATCAAACACTTGCTGACTCTCAGCTTCTGTCCTTGGCACGGCCATTGAATCTTGTGGGTTTTGAATCTTGTGGGGTCGATTGCCATCGAAACACATGACCCGGATCCAGGCATTTAATTGATGCTAAAAATACTCCAGGCCTAGGCCTATGATCACACACCAAGCGATGCCAAGGATCATGTAGCGCCCTGCAGCTTCGATGCCCAAGACGAAGCGGGTGATGTGGAGCCTTTGGAAGCAACAGGGGCTTGGAGGACTTATATCGATTATTGCTTGGCTTTATTTCCAAATGTGGGAGATGGAGTAAAAACAAATTTGTTTTCTACACTGGACATCTAACATTCTGATCGATCCATAATATGATGCAAAACACATGCGCAGAGTCTACAACATGCGCGTAATCTAGAGAGGAACGGCTCAAACTGGATTGCAACGTTGCAAAAAAAACATACGCACGAACATAAAGGCCGACGGTCATACAAAGAGCTGTGCACCGATTAATTGAGCAGCTGTGCATGTGCATGGCTACAAAGCTGCTGAGTACAAATCGCAAACAAGGTACATGGTAAGCGTCACAGTGGAAGTCCGGCGATCTTTCGCAGCAAATTCGTCTGGTAACGAAATTAAGGTTTCTGTCAGCCACTGCATCACCACCCGACCGTTCCATGCTTTGCAGAGGAAAAGAACATCGCCACTCTTCTGATACAACTTAGCAACGAACCAAGGCAGATTCAATTCTTCCGGCGTACGCTACGACACTAATGCAAACCTGCGACACAACTCTTCAGAACAAGGGAGCAATAAAAACAATACAGTGCAGCAAAATAATACATTGCTTCTATAATCTATCGGGTCGATTGATCAATCGATCGATCAAGGTTTGGATTTCACAAAATAATGTCATTGCATGCATCGGGGCTGCAAGTTTCTCTTGAAAGGCTGGCTGGCTGCAACTGATTCTCCTCGATGAACACCATTCCTTGAAGTCGATGTACGCTCGATGAAGCAAAATGCGCCTGGATGTACTCATGACATCACCCCATAAGCCACTTTGCAGTAGGAGATGCCTCAGGTGAGAGCCAACCCTTTAAAGGGAGACTGATATGAGGCCGTTACCAGCTGATTTGGAACATTCGATTGAGCAGGTGGCATGCATTCGTGCAAGTTGCAAGCTGCCACCATTGCATACATACAAGATGCCGATGTGCAAGACGTGCATCAAGCACCACTTAATCGTGGAAGGATGGAAGCCGGGAATTGCTGCCAAAGGGCCTAAGCTTTGCCCGCTCTTGACACGGCACTTGCATACAGGCACCGGTACTAGAAATGAGGACTGGTCATAAGATCTCTAGGCTTGACGTGCCATGAACACCAACATCTTAGAAGAAAAACATCAGTTGATCGATCGGTGTATCCACTATCCAAGTAGCACACACTCGTGTCAGAAAGACGCTGGGCCAGGAAGGATATAGTGGAGAACTCCTGGAAGGCTGGTTCTTCTATGTTCCAGTACAGTTGCCTCCACTCGTCTGGACTTCCAATGCCTTTGGCCGTGCAAAGATGGCATGTATGCTCGCCATTCCAGTGCACCTGACGTCGAAATCGCCACAGCTTTTTGTGCCATTGCCAGTCACCTCTATGCTCTGTCACCTGGAAACGATCAAAGCCACTCGTCAATGGAAGTCCAGCTTTTGCTGCAGCTTTCCGCGGCAGTGGTTCTCCTCGTGGTCCTCGCATTGGAAAACGGCCGTAGTATGCATGCCCACAGCTCCAAGCTATTCTTTTGGCAAAGGCGTGCAAGGTGCCAGTGCACATTCGCTCTTCCTGTATCGCGAAGATGAGATATCGACTCCTCCGGACGCTGTTGGGTTTCCACAGCACCAAGTTTAAGAACATCGCAAGCACGTTTTCAGATCCAAATTTGGTGACCACCTTGGCACTGTCGCCATACAGCCCTGTTGGCCACATGCTCTCCTCCACACCCATCGCCCATGGTTCTTGAAACTGCTTTGCAGTTCTCCAAAACCTTTGTCTCTCGGACAGTGGAACCATGACGCCACCATCAACCACATAGCTCAGTATCTCATGCGGGTCCATGATCGGCCACGCCTCTGTTCTTACAACAGTTGCTCCAGTACGGTCTTTGTACTTAAGCGGGATGTCCACGGAGCTGATTTCCTGTGGCGATCGATCGATCGAGGAAAAAGATAATTGATCTGCTGATCATGCCACGCGTCACCATTAAATTTCTACAGTCATTTCTGAGTCTGCAAGGTGGATGCAGATCAGCTAGTGATCGATCAATATTCGACACCATATAATAAGCATCACACATAATTTAATACGAATAATATTTATAAAAAAAATATGTTATAATGCGTTTCATGATGCACTAGTCATGACTCAATATCAGGGCTGTGTGTTTGGAAGCACTTTGGGCGAATATCGAATGGAGCCTACAAAACACATTCAAAGATTCGAGGATTGAAAAGGGCAACGGTCACTCTCTCACCCCCAAGCATTATTGAGGGTCGAGCAACAGGGCCATCATCAAGTAGACGCCACCAGTCTCGGGAGTCATTGCCAGGTGCTAGTTCACCTAATTTCCGCGTCAAAGGATGAAGATCCAAACCACCACCAGTGTCCTTGGGTGTGTTCAGGTTTGTCACCATGGCAAGGGTAGTTTTGTTCGCTTTGTTCGATGTTGGAAACTATGAACTACTTAGAAGACAATTGTTTTCTAGAATCGGTTCGTGGAGAGGGTTTATTTCAGGTGAATTGTTTCAACTCCAAGCTTTGCAATCTGCTCACTACAAGGCATGCACATAATATAGTTAATACTGCTATAGTACGTACGTTTCACAATATCGAAATAGCATAAAACATTTGCAGATATTTGCAGGTGTCGGCATTGCCGGGTGTGTTCATCCTTGACCCACATAGAAAACAGGCACAACTGTTTGGGCCATGAAGTTGAGCCTTTGCAGCCCAGGATCTTGGACATGGGCCCGGACATTCCTCATCACTTTTCCCACAGTGCCACCCTCAGTGCCGAGCTCATCACTTGCTCAAAAATATCAAGCGCTTTAAAATATAAAATAGGCAGGCAATGGGTGATTTCCAGACATGACAAGTTCGGTCATTTCATGGGAAACCTCGATAGGTTTGCCTCGACGTGAGTACAACCCAATCCGCAGCTCATAAAGATCGATCGATTGATACGATGACATGTGTTCGTTCCAATTAGGTATTAGATCTTCTATAGTTCAAGGATTGATCGATCCATGCATGCGTGCATGCATGCATTGCCTTGGACAGGTACATGGATCATGGAATAGCAACCGCCTAGTATTATTAATGTTGCAAAACTGCTTCACCCAAGTGCAACTGAACTGCAAACGTGAACATTGCATTCTTACTATTTTAGTATTATATTTTTTTGTTGTACATGGCATCTCTGATCTATAATTAGATCAATCGCATATAATATAATAAAGCGTTTGTTGTTTGATCGAGTCACTCCACTGCAAACGTCATCCATGGCGTTGGATAGAACATTGGATGGAACTTGATGGGCGCGTTCACCAACACCATCGGTACCTGTTTTGATTTACA